TCACGGCATTCGCTTAAATCACAAGTCCGCACGTGTTCTATACATGCACGCCTTCCACTGTCAACTTTTACAAGTGCCAAGTTTGTTTTTTTATTAAACTTTTGACGCTTATAAGATAAACGTATGCCGTGGATATCCCAATTTGAACCAATCAAACAAGTGGTGTCATATGAGCTTATTCAAAAAACTCCTGAACTCAGCAATTTGTTACCCTCGAGGTCAATTCAACCTCCTAAGTTTACTCAGTTAGCTTCCCACGGTCTGTATTTTCAATATTTTTTAATTTTTTTTATTCCAGGGGTGGGGGAAGACCCTTTCCAGTCTCAGAGATACGGCTTTTTCAGGTCTTAAGCCAGAGTTTTCCTACGGAGTTTTGGTCCTAACCACCTAAAGATCATCTGCAGATCACACCGGGGTCACTCGGAGTCAGTGCTCTATATGAGGGTTTCAAATCTCACGTTGAGTCTCAAAAAAAACCCACTTTCAAAAAGACACATGTTTCAAAAACACGCAATTATTGATTCACATGTAATCCTTTCGCAAAGGTCTTTTTGTCGTGTTACGAACCGTTTGTTATTAACACCGGAAAGTGACACTACATAAGTATGGTTCACTATTGTGGCTATTCAATCCGCTTGACCTTGCCCCTTATTTTGGATAAATAGCCTATTTCTGTTCTGAGGGTTTGTTTTCAAGCGCTGATAACTTACGGTACAACCCTCGGGTTTGGTTAAAATTCTAACACATGTTCTATATTGCCACAATCTACCACTTCTCTAATTGTTGGCGCCCTGTGTTCCTTGGGAGCTCGGAGACGACATCCAGAAATGAGGGTTGGGTTTGTTTAATTAGGGCCAAAAATCATAACTACGTGTCCAGCGTGACTGGGGTTCTAAGCTTATGCTCCCTCATCTAACCCAAAATATACTAACTTTTGATGCCAATCTAACCGCTAGTTAGCGGGTTCTTAAAGGGCTATTTGCACTTCCGCAATCGTTTTTAATTGGGCCAGGAGGGTCCGAGGAGTTCGTATTTTTGCGAGCCCAGCTTGAGTCATCTCTAGTATCGGTTCTAGGATTTTCATAAAGTTTGCCTCTATACTTTTCCTTTTAGGGTGTGTAGAACTATCGTTCATCACTTGGGTTTCCAGCCATAGGAGATACTCTAGCTTTGAAGAGTTGAACTCATTTTGGATGGACCATTTGTTTGTCCACATCTTAACCTCTGGACAAAACAACTATAACAGTACCTGCTTATCATTAGCTTAACCATACTGCATGCAATCCCCAGGGTAACATTTCACCTCGAGTTCTAAGTTTTGTACAAGGATCGCCAATACTACTTTAATAATCCTTCTCAAATCGGAAAATTTGACAAACAACAGTTTTTACTGCTTTTGTGGTATATTTGAGCCAAACACTTAGCTTCAGGGAAATTGATTGCAAAACAAAAACGGGACAGACAAAATTTTAAATGTTTTTGTTGACCCGTAGGAACTTCAATAAAAGGTTTCATCCAGCTTCCATTTTCACAGTCTTTCATCGAAGATTTTTTTGGGTTAAATCCTGATGATGCATTGCTGAGTTTTTCCGTTGAAAACGTTTTCGATCGATAAAGTTTTTGCGCTAAAAAAGAAGGTAAGTCCACTGAAGTTTTCTTTTATCAAAATCGTTCAGCGTTAAACCTTCCACTTGCATTTGGAAGTTTTCGAAGTATAAAAAAAATGAAATATTTTGATCTTCGAGAACAATTTAGAAGTTTTCAAACTGGTTTCAATACAAAGTACAAAATTATTCAGGAAGCTTCTGTCGATAGTTCATGATTTTTTCACTGTTGAAAGATATTTGAAGGTTACCATAAAAAAGCTTTAGTTGGACAAATCCCCTTTTTTCCAAATAGAAAATCTAGAGCAGTCGGTCTTTCGCTTGTACTGCTCGACTCAAGGTGATTGACTTTTTTATGTGTTGTGAATGACAAGCGTTCAAGCTTCAACTATCGCTTTCTCAACAATACCAGAAAATTTGAAAACAAACACTGCAGTTAGAGCAAAATTTAGCCTCAGCGCAAACACTGCGGCAATATTCAATCAAAAATCTTGGTTAAAAACTCAAGCTTTCATGGCTAAAATTTTCAAAACGGCTTTTTCAAGACAGGCATCGATATCGCTCTTGAAACATGTCGCGCTCGGGAAAACCGTCATACGGTCACGTATGAGTAAATACTGTTTTCTAATCCAAACGGGTTGGTAAACAGAATATCGAATTAAATCATAATTCCGCAGTTACAACTGAATAGTAGAGGTTAGTTCTTACGCTCTGAAATCCAACGCTTCGAGCTATGTATACCTTTTAATCAAGGTCATGGGATAAATTTTCAGATACAATATTTCATTTCTCGTCTCAAGCATTATACCATATTTCAATTCTCCTCTTCGCTTTCATTATGTCGCGTTTTAGATCCTTTTTATGGATACTTGCCGACTTCTTAATTTCGAATGCTTCTGCGATTGCAATCTATGCAACTATCCCGGGTTAAATCTTCCCTACAATTGACGGATGTAATTTCCGGGTTGTCACGGGGTCATTTTCTTCTTCTGATTCTGGGATCTTCTCTTCGTTTTTGGCTGTTCTGTTTTTCCTTCCTGCAAAAAAAATTAACTTTTTTCGAATTGCATACTTGTCCCTGTTTTGTGATTTTAGCACAAATTTTGTACACCGCGGTACATGATTGCGAGTGGTTCGGACCTATATGATGCCAAACACTTATAACACGGTTCAGTTTTTTCCTTGAACTTGAAATTGTTGTCCCCTCGTATCCTAGTTACTTCGCGGGAAATTTGCCAACCTCGTGTTTGTCCAGGTCCTCTCTGATTATTTTGTTATGCGTGTTTTTTTTGCACTCCTCGTGGCAAAAGTAACCCACGGGATTTTTATTCAATTGGCCATAAAGTCGATGTTCAAATGGGTTGATTTTCTTTTTTAACCATGCTTGAATTATTTCTCTCTTCTGATCTCATGCTGGCATGCGTCTTCTGGAGATCACGTCTGCGCCATTAGTTTTTCGGTTATTTTTTGTTGTCCATGCGGGCGGTGAAAATCTCCCTGAACCGCTTTTTTGCACGGTCAGCTGACGCAAATTCCACAAGGTCCACCTAGAGTTGCTCTAACGATTCAGTTTTATTCTGTTTTGCCACAAATGAGATTAATTTTTTCAATTTCAATTAACATCGTAAAGAAGAAAATATTCTCTAGATATTTACTGTATCTTTCATTGTTGATGATGGCGAATCTAGGCCAGGTTTTTTCTGTGTAACTGACAGTAGCATTCTGCACCCAGGCAAAAACAAAATATACTTTTTTTTCTTCGCATCTGTTTCATCCCAAACGAATTTTGCTTGCCTTTAATAAATTAGTTTTCCCAATCTATTTTTTTCTCCTTTGTCACAACTTCTCTTCTCTGCTCCTGTTACTTATTTTCGTAGGTTGGCTCAGTGGGTTCTATTAGATCAGATTTGTCACGTAATCGATTTTGTGCTTAGATTCCGTCTTTCGTGATTATGGTCATCTCCAGGATTGATGTCCACTATCAGACCATATCAAGGGTAGCGGTGCTGCCGCCCTTTGCCAGATTGGAGGTTTGCTCGTTGCATTTTTGTTTCCTGTTTGCTGCGCTATTTCATAGAGTTAACTGTGTTCTCTGATCCGAATGGTGTAGTAAGCCGAATAAAGAATGAATTCACGCGACTAAACGAAAAATGTTATTTCCTACTCTCTAAAAGTCATCGCTGTCAGCTATGAATTAAATCAGTCGAAGTAACAAAACAAGTATAACTGTAATAAAACAATTTTTTGTTAATGTGTACCTCAGAAATTTGCCACTATTCGATCGGAATACAATAAAAAACTTTGATTTTTAAAAACATAGCTACGTATATTTTTAAAAGTACAGCAAACCAAAACCCGGTAGAACAAACCAAGTTTATAATGAAGAAATTTCATCGCTCAAAACAAATAAGCGTTTGTACTTAATAAATCATCAATACAGTACTTAAAAAATTAATTTTTCCATGATTCACGTGTTGTGTACTTTATTTTTTAATTGTGTCTAGCCAACCACAGTAAACCAACTGCAAAATCCGTTGTGTTATGAATATTTTTTGATCGAATGGTTATAACTTGTTTATCTTTTGTAAAACCGAGTGTAATGCTGAAACCTGTAAGATGTAATGGTGAATAGCAGGAGTTTTGCTAGAACAAGAGTTGTTCATTAGATTCAAAAAAATAGCCACATTTTTCAAATTATATAACTTTGAACCACATACCTCCATAACTCAACTAATAACTAATGATTGATAAGAGGTATATATTGCCAAAGATAAAAACTATTCTAGAAAAATTGAGCTAACTGTGCTTGTTAACTAAAACTTGAATACTTTAATCGAGGTTGAAACAATTTTTTATTAACTTTTTATTAATGTATCTTTACATCAAAAAGTAGAAACAAAATAGCTCATTGCAATCAAATATTTGGGTAAAGTTATTTACAGCCTGATATAAACTGAGTCGTACCATTTTTGTTGATATCAATTTAATTAAGGGTAACACATAGAGTTACACATCAAACTTTTACAAAATTTATTAACATTTCTCCAAACAACTAGTTGAAAAACATAAATGGCTCATTAAAATAACTTTAGGAAACAACTACTACCATTGTTTGAAGTAATGATGTAACTTGGTTTGACTTTTAGGATTTTGTTGCTTTTGATTTAGTAGGAGTTAGCATCTAAAACGTTACTCTGAAGAATGAGAAGATACAAATATAAATACTAAACATTCAATCAATCTTGATGAAGGTTTTTTCAATTTTCCAGATTGTACTTTCTTCACTGTATCGAATAAACGATTTGACGAAACTCAGAAACATAGAGAACGGTTCATCCATTTGTATTTTTCGACAGTTTTCAATTATTCGAATACAAATATCCATAGAATCTGAGAAAGCGCTATAAATGTGATTGGTCTTTTTTGGTGATTGATGCTCCAAAATTAATATCAATCTCTAAAAATATGGGAAAGGAAGTCAGACAGAGAGCAAATTAGACGTCATTTATAAAAGAAAATGGATTAAGCTAACTTTTTTTCGAATAAACTTGCACTGAGGATGACAGTTATAGGAGCAAAAAAAGTTTCGATGGTAATAAAAATTTACATATACAAATAAAGTATATTGCAGGATATTTCTGGAACATAATTTTGATTATTGTACGTCATTTTTTGAAATTCATTTACTATACAATGATAACGAGTGAAAATTTGATTTACCTTTAGTTTGCTTGTCGTCTCATTTCATAGGTCCCAAAATGGATCTGTATGAAAACTGCAAATTAGAAATTAGAAGCACTCAGAGGATGGATCAAATTTAAAAAAAAAACGAGACTTATTACAAATTATGCAGAATCTGTTGGGTTTTTAATCATTTTTGAAAATCGAATTAACACTGAAATGAAAAAAATAAAACTAAGTGGAGTTCAAAAAACGTATTCAGCAAGTTCAATGACTGAAATGTCTTTTTCCACAAGCTGCATTAGAGCTGTTTCTTCATCCTCATTACAGAATTTATCTATCAGTTGTTCTGCTTCTGTCGTTTCTGAATGAATCAAGTCTATCAGAACATCATAGCATGCTGTGTTGAGGGGATTCATGTGCAACCCATAGGTTGCAAGTGTGACAAGTTCCATGGTACATGAACTAGCTTGAAGGTCAGCAGTTAGCTTTAGGCATGAAAGAGCAGCTTCAGCACACTTGTCTGATATTAACATTCGTATTCGAGTAGATTTCGACATATTGCATGTTTTTATTATTGTTGATCTGTAGTCAATTTCTAGTTCTTCTAATTCTTGTCTCGTTTTGGCAATTTTGCTGAAAAACAGCTCTCTCGCACTACTTGTTTTTAGACTTAGTGTATCAAGGAGACGGAACCGGTTGTTGTGAAGATCCCAATTCTGCTTCATGTGCGATCGTTCAATGGTCAAGCGATCTTTTAAGATTAATTTTTTCAAAATTTTACATAAATCAAGATTGTTATCTCTTATAGCTTCGTTAAGTATTTTAGCTTCTTTAAGTTTCTCATTTGATACTTGACAGAAATCAAGTAAACTCTGACGTGCCAACGGGAGTTTCGGGTTGAACCAGCAAGAATACCTCGCGTATTGGATGGTGAGAAACAGGTTACCGCATACTCTGCTAAACTCATCTGTATCGATCAAGTTCAAGTATCTGGAGATTGATTTGCAGCATTTTTGGAGCAAGATACCAGCGTCTTTTCTAGAAGCTAATGCTTTCTGTCGATCTCCATTTTTTACAAGGTGGCAATACTCTTGGAAAAGCACGTCAAACGCTTCGGTGTAGAACTGGCTCCTCAATGACTCATAAAAACTGTCCCCAAGATCTTCAGCTACGTCAACCATACTTTTCAATTCTTTCCAAGAATATTGAACCTTGTCGGGTTCTTTTATCTCCGAGCTTTGAAGTAATTGGAATGGCTTGTTGCATACAGAGTCTGTATTTTCCTGAAGGTTTTCACAAAAACGACTTATGTCAAATAAAGAGCTTTTGAAAAGCTGCAGTTCTATAATATTTGAAGCAAACATTGACTCCGCAAATAACAGTTGCAGAAATTCCAAAGCAATTCTGTCAAAAGTATTCGACACTAGTGCTATGAACACAGAAACTTGCTGCTGTCTATACCAATCAAGAGCCGCCGCTGAACTGGCTTTCGTGATGTTCGAGAGAACCAATACGGATGCGCTACCTTGAAACATGTATTGTTTGACTTCATCAGCTGAACACCATTCCAGTCCTTGGATGGTCAATGCTGTTTCTGTTAAGAAGTTCAGTTTGGGGAGGACACCGATAATGACAGCAATGCCACTTGTTTTGCAAAATTTATTCAACAGAGATCTGAAATAAGTCGGCAGTTCTTCTTTTGCTATGTGAAAACTTCTGGCATTCCTGTAAAGATAATAAGACATTCCATGCTACACAAAGTGTGAATATCTTGATTAGTTGGGTTGCATTTGTCACATCTTAAGCTTTTTAAAACATTTTGTTTGCCCTGAAGGAATTGAAAATGAACAAATCCTGATGCTTCAATCAGACGGGTTAATTCCAATTTAGAATAACGTTTAAAAGCAGGGCCATCTTAGAAATTTTTGGGGGGCGGGGGTGAAAAAAAAAGACAATATACCCAAAAAAGCAATTAACGACATTTTTATTCGTGTGACAACAGGAAAGGCAAACACCTGAATATTTTTTAAAGACCATAAAATTGTCTCCAAAAAACTAATGACAAACCATGAAATGGGAAAAAATTTGAGCTTTCTTGACAAAAATTGAGCTGAAAACATGACCGCAGTCAATAAAGGTTTTTTCGGCAAGTCATGTTTTCAGCTCAATTTTTGTCAAGAAAGCTCAATTTTGTTCCCCATTTCATGGTTTGTTATTAGATTTTTGGAGACCATTTTATGGTGTTTAAAAATATTCAGGTGTTTGCCCTTCCTGTTGTCACACGAATAAAAATGTCGTTAATGTTTTTTTAGCAAAAAAAACCTAAACGCTGGTGAAAAAAAAAACACGTGTTGATTTATATGTTCACGAAGAAGTTTTAAAAAGAGACCAAAAATCAGTCACGAGACATAGAAATTGCAATGTTTTGTTTTCAACGAGCAAATGAACAACTTTTTTTTTCAGAAAACATGTTTTTGTCGTGTTCTCTGCAACTAATTAAGATAGGGGGTTCAAATTTTGACAAATTTTTATGAGCGTTTTTGAGTGGAATTGATTGGGTCAAATTTTGAGAAGTCTTATGTCGAAGGCGTAAATTGGCCAGTATATAATTACTAGTTTCAGAGGTGTTTTTCGTTTTTCTGTGAAAACATCCTCGCGAGCAAAGTAAGGATTTTGAATTGATGGGATCAAAGTAATTCTTTGTAAAGCTGATGAGCTGCTTGGCTTACCCTTTATACTGCCGAAAACTGACACTCAACAGAGTTGAAAGAATTGCTTGGTCCTGAGTCAGAAACTGCTTAAGCTTTTAAATAACTTTAAGCTGATGATTATAACTTTTAAAAAATTTTCCAGCAAATAATTTGAAAACAATCCGCTCCAATCTATGCGCAAGAATTTCATTAACAGTTAGATTGTGTGTAAATTTTGTGTCTTTTTCTGGTTTAAGCTCTCAAAACTTTTTATGTTTGTGTCTACAAAACAAAAAAAATCGCCCGACAAGGTAACTCTTTTGAACTCTGTTATATGTCGTTTTTTGCGACATAAATTGTAAGTGAGCTTTCATGAGCTTTCCAAAGAAGTGATTGTTCAAATTCCGAAGATTTTGAAATATTGTTCAAATTCCGAATAATTTTTGCGAGGGTGTTTCCACAGCAAGAACACCTATATAACTATATATGACATACTGCCCTAATTACACCTTTGAAATAAATTTTTCAATAATTTGCCCGGCTATTTTCAATAAAAGACCTTCAACGTATTTTCATTATTCATCTTTCATAGTTTGAACCCTATTTGAACCCTATTTGTTAAAACCTAGCGGCGAAAATAACGAAAAATTGAATAAAAATTTTATTCATTTTCTCGTTAAAATCAAAAAATTGCTAGCTCGATATCCCAAGACTGTATCTCCCAAATTTTCTATGCAATTAACTATGGTCAAAACTCAGAAAACTTTACAAAACTAGTCACCACCGATTGTTTAGTTACTCTTTAAACTGTCACCACTGAACTGTTATCGAAAAAAAAATTACCTTAAATTTAATATTTATCAGAGCCAAAGGAGGCTTCCTTAGTTATATTTCAGTGGCATTTGGCCAAAATTAAATACCGTCAAATAGTGAAAAAAAGGATGGTTTTTTTAGTAGGTTAAATCCCTGAGGAAGGAGAGGCGGAATGACTTACAAAATTGATACTGAGTCAGAAATCTCGTTTTCGTCCATTGGTGAAGTGAAGTAAGACTCATCTCCAGCGACAATAGCCACGTTAGTTGTTGCGCGTGTTATTGCCATATAAAATTCTGCAAGAAACTTAGCGGGTTGTTTATTCACCATTGCTTCCAACAAAACAACAACCGCTCCACATTCAATTCCGTTGATGATTGAAGTTGACTCCAATTGAACTTCTGGCAAGTTTAGATAATCGTCCCCAAAATCCAATTCATAAGAATTGGACGACAACTTAATTTCTTCTTGTCTTAAACGAGAAACAATCCCAAGTTGAACTTTTGGCGATAAAAATGATATTAAAACAAGTAGACTTGATTGGTTTTGCAGAGACACAGCCAAACGCTTTATCACTTCAAAGCATTTGGTTAAATAGCTGTCGTTTTTGGACGCGCCATAGGAATGAACATAAAAAACTTCTGCTTGATTAGTACCGTCGAGGCTTGCACTAGGCATGCTGATAACATTCTCGGAGTCCTTGCTTAAGACCAAATTTCTCGACAAATTGCTGTAAAAGTCGTTTATTCGTTTTGTAAACCTCATCGGATAAGAAAGGGAATAATGGACGAAGTTTTTGTCAATGCTGCCGAAAATCGATTTCTGTTCAGATGAGAAAAGACACATATGAGCATTGTTCTGGAGACCAAAAAGTATTGCTTTATGCATCGGGATATGATTGAGGGGGTCTTCGTCAATAAAAACTATTGACTGCCTGGTTCTATCAAGTCTCTGTGAGAACTCCGGTAATGACCAAAACTCAATGTCAAGTCCACTCAATTCATGTTTCAAACGTGAAAAAAGCATTTTAGAATTACCAGCTGACCCGTCGCATACCACTACTTGGAGCCCAAAGTGGCTGGATGTCATTTGCGCTAGAAAAGTCATCAGCATGGTCTTCCCCGTTCCTTTTCCTCCTCTTACATTAATGCGCAATTGGTTGCCTTCGATTGGAGAATCAGTTGTTGTTCCCGCCACTCTGACGCTTGTGATTGCTTGTGAGTGCTTTGAATCTGAGAGTGCTTTGAAGACTGTGGCTATTATTTCCAATTGTTCTTTCGTCCAAAGAATTACTTTAGTTTTCCCTCTCCTCATCGCTGGCTGAAATTTTTTAAAGAGCTCAATGAGTTCACATTTGATATCGTAATCTCCGATTAGTATTTCACGGAGTTGTTTCTTAATCCATGCTTCTTCGTTTCCTGCACTGACTTGAATCGACTGTATGTCATTAGATGCAAATTTTTGATGGATATGACCATTTGAGGCTAAACTCAGCACGACAAGTCGGGCAACTAAAAGATCGAAACTGTTTGTGTCTGCCATATCGGGGAGACTTCGTACTAATTCTCCCCAGAGCGGGACAAAGTTTTTAGGGCCTGGTTGTTTAAAAACAATCACTTTGTTCCCAGCGGCATTAATCTTTTTTCCGATGTTTTTCGGGTAATAATTATCATGAATAAATACATTATATATAGGGACTTCAGTGAACCTATTCAAGTCAAATTTTTCACAAGTTGAACGTTTTGACTGACCGTTATAGCAAGATAAAAGGCGTACAAAATTAGAGTGCTTTTCCATATCATACTTTAATTTTTGCAGATTCGGCTTTTGATCGTTTTTAACGTTGAATACGAAAATTCCTTTTTGTGGGTGTGCAACTATCATGTCAATTTCTACGCTTCCAGGTCCTCCTTTTCCAAAAATGTGAAAACCTTCTACATTCGGCAGAATAATAACTCCGGCATCGTCTGTTCTTACTTCATTCACAAACAATCTATAAAGTTTATCTTCAGTTTTTTCGCCTTTGTTAAGCGTTTTATAATAGTCTCGCAAGGGTCTGGACATTTGTTGGTATCGTATCTTCTGTCGCGGGATTCTCACAGACGGTATTGATGTTTTTTTTTCCGGGTTTTTTCCACTCGGCGTAGTTGTAATCTATTATTCTTTTCAACTCATTATCATCACTGAAATGTGTTTCTATGCCTTTGAGTCCCCGAATTTTCAAACTATCAATTTCGTCTGCAAATTCTTTGAGTTCATCTTTGGAAAACTTTTCTGTTAATGATTCAACAGAACTAACGGCGGATCTTGTGTTAATTTCTTTTAAATCATTCGGCTCAATTATTTTTTTGTTTTCATCGGTATCAGTTTTTTTGCTGTCATTTGCAAATCGAATTTCCTCCGAGCTATAAATTGGGAAGCCCGAAGAAGAAATTGGTAGGAGATTGATCACAACGTAATCGTCACTTGTTTCCTCATCCTTTGTTTCTTTGTTTTGTCTCGGGAATTTAGAAAGAATTAAACCCATTTAGTATATAACCTGTAGAAATAGAAGCTCCATAGAAAAAACTTCAAACTTTAACCTTTTTTGAGTAAATCAATTGAATAGAAAATGAAACTAGACTTATCTTTTTATTTCGTACGGAGCACTTCTTGCAGAAACGTAGAAAAAAACCGCACTGATAAAAACTGGTTTCAGATCAACTTGAATTGATTTTAAGTCGAATTTAAATTCGATCTATTCTAAAAAAAACTAATTTAAACCGATTTGAACTGTTTTTTATTATTCAGAATCTCATTCAAAGCCATCCGAATCTTACCAAAACTCATTTTTTCTCCTTTAAATTTCAAAAGATATTTCACCTGTGATCATTTTTTCCAAAGTTATGAGGGTTTAAAGAATGCCATTTCGGCCATTTTGACCAATTTGGTACAATTAACGCGCAATATAATTCGCGCTATTAATGCGTGAGCGAGATTTAATCCGTCTGAAATTGATCCCAATTGGTTGAACGAAGCTTATTTGCCATAATTGATTTGTTACAAGGATCAAAATCTATCTTTTTGTCCTTAATATGGCGTGTGGGGGATGATTTTTATAAAAAATTTCAAATTTTAGATAAAAAATTTTCATTTTGTTTTTTTTTCATTTAATTTTTTTTATGTATTACTGCTGCTCAATAAACCTTAAAAGGCAGTCAGAACATTCAGGGCTTCGCCCTGATACGAGCAGTCTTGTTATATTTTGTGCTTAAAATCATGCAAATCAACTTAGTCATAGAAAAATCATAAATGTAAATCAGGTTGTGAGGATTAATTCATGCAATGAATCAAAAAATACTCAAAATTTATCCAATTTTGAGCTCACAAAACGCAGAAAAAACATAAAATATTATCAAAGTAAGCGTATGTTGCGTTGTAAATCAAATTGAAAAGCAATGAGAATTTATAAAACTTTCTAATTTTTTTACGCTTCATAGAGATTGCTAGCATCGTTGCAAAAACGAAAAACTCCCGGATTAAAAAGTTTTTGCCTCAATCTAAACTAAGTTACAGAAAAAAAACAACAAACCTCCATGGGTAAATGAGGTTTTTGTTAAAATGTGTAAATGCTCCAAAAAATGAATAATTGTACTATGAATTTAAATGATGCTGCTTCAATTTGACTTCAAAGCACTTAAAATTCAGTCCAGTTTTATACTTGACTCTTTTAAAATCCCAAGACAGGTCACAAAAGTTGGAGACAATAACGATTTGAACTCTTGGTTTTGTTTTTAATCGCATGTTCTTTCAAACGATCAATATTCTATAAATCCACATTTGCTTGAATTGGAAATGATCTATCAGAAAGATACATAAACAAGAGTGCTCGTAACAGGGCGAAGCCCTGAATGTTCCGACTGTCTTTTAAGGTTCATGGAGCAGTTTTAAGATTAAAAAAATATATATAATTAAGCAAAATTAAAACAAAAATTTCTAACCTTTGAAATTTTTTGTGAAAATCATCCCCCCACACGCCATATAAATTACAAAAGAATAGATTTTGCTACTTGAAACAAATCAATTATGGCAAATAAACTTATTTCAATTAATTTGGAACGATTTCAATGACAGAATAAATATCCGCTTACGCGTTAATAGTGCGCAATACATCGCGCGTTAATTGTCCCAAATTGGCCAAAATGGCAATCTTTAAACCCCCGTAACTTCACGAAAAATGATCACAGGTAAAATATCTTTTCATATTTGAGCTCAGGACAACAATAGGAGGAGGGGGGGAACCCCCTCCCCCATACCCCCACCCCTAAATCCGCCGCTGATTGTAATATTTATTTGGTTCCCATATAATTGATTTTTTGTTTTAAAGAAAACTCATAAAAATTGATTTTTTGCAAGTATGAAATGAAAATTGATTATTTTTTTGCAACTATGAATTGATTTATCTTCTTTTTCCAATTTTCTGCAAAACTAGAACCCGAAAAAGTTTTCTTTCACGCGTACACCCTCCTTCCTTTTCAACGCTTTGAACCCGCCCATGCTTTGACCTCCACATCCCCTTTTCAACCGCCCCTCATAAGGGGATAAACATAGAATCGGAGACAAGAAGGGAAAGAGGGACTTCACTTGGAAAAAGGAGGGTCAAAAAAGTTTGAGAGACTAAAAAAGATTTTTCGAAAATTGTCATGGAAAAAATTGATGAAACATTGTGATGGAAGATAAACCATATAACCTTTTACTGGCCAAAGTAAGGCTCACATTGTACTTTTGTAAAAAAAAAAAACGTATGTTAAGCCAAAAGCACCGTATTTGACTAATTTAGAATTTTAGGAAAAAAATATAATCAATTATAATCAGTTAAAACATTGAAAAAAGATTTTATTTATTTGACCGAAAGAAAATGTGATCCATTTTTAACCGAGTATAATCAGTTTTTCTATATTTTTATGGAGAATGAAAATGAAAACTAATATTTTCCATTTATTTCCATAAAAATATAGCTAAGAAATTAATCTAAGGCTATAGCTAATTAGTCAAAAGGAATAGGAAAAAAAATAAAATAAATGAATAACCTCAATGTTAAAACACTTGAGTAAAAATGAACAAGGTCATTCCGAACAAGAGGAATATACTGACGATCAGACACAGAATTTTTGAAACTAATTAAAACAAGACTGATCGTATCAGGGCGAAGCCCCAAATTTTCCGATGGCCTTTTAAGGTTTATGGAGCAGTAATCACAATAAAAAAATAAATGAATAAAACAAAATGAGAAAAAAAAATTCTAAAATTTGAAATTTTTATGAAAATCATCCCGCCACACGCCATATAAAAAACAAAAGAATAGTTTTTGCTCCTTGTAGCAAATCAATTATGGCAAATGAGCTTCTTTCAACCAATTTGGAACGATTTATAAGACGAATTATTTCTCCGCTTAAGCGTTAATTGTCCCAAAATGGCCAAAATGGCAATCTTTAAACCCCCGTACCTTTACGAAAAAAGATCACAGGTGAAATATCAAATTTAAACTCAGGACAACAATACCTTTTGAATGATTTTTTAAAATTCCGTCAAAATGGCTAGTTAATAAGTCGAAATTTGTCTGAAGAAAAAAAAACCCACCCCGAGCACAATTATTCCGTTACTTTCGTATCGAAAGTCGGAACAATAAGAGTTTTCGTTTCTAATGTGTGAAAACAGAACAAACAGGACGATTAGAAACTATGTTATGTTTTGTTCAAGTTGATACAGTTGGATACCCGAGTTGACGAAAAAGCTTACAATACAATTTCATTCAGGAAAAATGCCTATCACACAGTTTCATACAATTGCATAACTAGACAAAATTTGTTTGAAAAGAGCAAAATAAACAATTTTCATCCCATGAATATGTATAATTAGCATTTTTGGTCCCTTGGAAATGAATAGCAAGCTCTTTTCCATTGGTTTTCTTAAAAAAGTTGTGTAAAGTAGCGAATTTTTGTATAATATGAAACTGCATGATACACGTTTGTTCAATACTGCGAAACTGGGAGACAGGCAAATTTCACAAAACACAAAAACGAATTATTTTCTATCGTACGAAAACTCAACGTGTTAGTGGCAGTTAACACGCAGATAAATTTGTTTGGCAAAGAGTAAGAGCACGTTAAATTTTAAAACTAAAGTCAAGAAAGCTACTGTTAAACTTTTCTCACTGAATTAATTACCAAAAACGTAACTTTTTCTAAAGGGTTAGAAAGCTTTTAATTTGATTGGAAAAAAAGACACGAGAAGTGTCCATGATTGGAAAAAAAGACAATTTTTACAGTTTCAAGATAATCTTAGCATAGGAAAGCAAAAAAAATGATTGTATTTAAAACAAAACGGTTGCTTGTGATTTTTGATTTTATGGGTGAAAAACTCAACCTGGACTAAGTTATAGGCACAAAATATCAAAATTTTTTTGCAAGGTTTATATATGTAAATTCATTATCTGCACACAAAAGCAAGTTTGCATTATGTTTCCATGCCAAAATTACTCTCTTGAAACCGAAACAGCAATCAGTTTGTGTTGTTAGAATTTTAAATCGACTTAAGATAATTTTCGAAAAAAAAGATTGAAAAATTGCTTGTCATTTTTTTTTCTCTGAAATTTGAATGATAAGCATTTTTCTATAGACTGCATGTATGAAAATGTATGATAGACTTTTTTCTTGGTTGGACGTCACCCGGTTATACACTTCGAGCAACTTTTCTTGCAATTCTTTGAACTTTCACAATTGACCCCTGTCCTCTGTAAAAACGAATTCGATGTTTCTCTGCTTTTTAGTATGAGTTTTGACGAGTGGGGACAAAAACGTTGTTTGTTGTTTCGTTTCCTAGGGATCACGGAAAACGCTAAGAGTCAAACTTTTAATATCACCTTTCTCCTGAAGCCGTTACTGCCTTTTCAGGTTTTTTGAAAATTTACTGTTGTTCATTGCCAGCTTTCTTCTGCAGTCTGAACTTGAGGCAACACGCAAGATAAGTTTTTAAGTTTGTTTAGTTTCATAATAGTTCAAAAAATTGATAACGCATTTTCTGATTTCTAATAAGCCCATAACATGAAAAGTTTTACTCACCTGAGAAATCACCCAGGATATCGTTCAATTTTTCCCGCAAACTTTTAACTACAGGAAACAGCACAATAAATAAGATCGGTTTTTGGATTTACGTCATGCAAACCGAGGTAATTTGAAACTTTCCAAGAAAAAACATCGGAATTTTTCCGATATCTAAGCAAACGACAAGTAAATGAAATCTGTCACGCAATTTAACAAAAAGAAATGACATTCAAAAAGTAGTAAAGCAAACAAGTAAACGAATAATTCTATTTTGATATTTCCAATTTGTAAAACTGAACCGTGTTAAGCAAACACCTTTTGCAACTTGATTGTGTAAAAACTACTTTCATCAATTTGATTCGAACACTTTTTGTAGAAGACCAACACATACAAATATTCACATTGTTTGAGCTGTTTAACGATTTTTTGACCACGTGCGTCACCATAAAACTAATACGAAAAGCGTAATAAATAGCAAAATTTAAAACTTTTGTATGCATAAAATTTTTAGTTATGGTTAGAGTAGAATAAACGTTTTACGTAGGTCATCTTTTAACTTTCAACTAGAGTCGAGTTTCTTTATTTTAAGTGCAATTTTCTCGAGTAATCTGATCTGGCTTCGAAAGGTAACTGTTTTATAAATGCTGCCAGAGCTCTGGGAGTAGTACGTCGAGTCCTTTTTTCAGACTCTGCTTCTTGATTACTTCTCACGGTATGAACCATAAGTTGCCTTCCAGTTTTTACAATTTTTTCCTCATGTTCATGGCGATTTCAGCTTTTTATTCATTTTCGTAACTAGTACCAGTATGATTTAATTGGCTATTAAATGTTATTTTAGAAGTAGGTATCTCGCAAAACTGAACTATATGCAAAATTCTTTAAATAAATCAAGGAAACGATGATCTTTACGATGATCCTCTCGGTTTTTGAAAATAGCTTGTTCCTGTAATTCGTCAAGGCCGATTTCAAAAGACTTCCATGTAACTCTGTCATCTCTGAGTCCGTAGAAATTTCTTTGAATGAGTGTTTTCTTTGGTCTCAGAACCTCAGAGGTTATGTGTTAATTTTTTTCTCCTCTCCTTAAGGTTCCTTTGCAAACCTATCTCATGACGATTCCTCTGCTACCCTATTTTCTCTTGATCGGTTTCAGCTTTTTATTCATTTTCGTCCTGTTCAATGCTTTCATTGGGGTTGAACTACTCGTTCCTTCATCGGAGTCCATGGATACGTCTGTTGTTGCCGACTCTTTGTGTCTTACCTCATTACAACCCCACTCTATGGTTTGGTGTTCTGAATTCCTAGCCCGGTATTGGCAGCCAAAATGAGAAGAACTAAGACCAGCCATTTTCTGAGAATCCCCAACAATTCTAAACTGTTGTCTAGGGATTACACGGCGCATTTTCTTATGCCAAAAAGGCACTAACACCGGGGATTCCTATAACAAATATGCGTATTGAAGTTTTTAAGATTCTCCGACAGTGCCTTGGAACCCCCGGTAGTGTCTGCGATATCGACTACAGTGTCTGTCCGGGATCCCACTACAGTTTTAAAACAATATTAGTCACGCCAGCTCAGGTACTGACCCAGTTAAAATTTTGGCAACGGGTCAAAGGTGGGACTAAACGAGTTTGGACTTTTTGTTTTCCGACCGGTTCGGGCCGAGTTTCCTGCATTAAATACAAAAAAACCAAACTGGGTCTTATGAAATCTACTAAAACTTGATCGCATAATTTTGACCTTTGATCAACCCAATTCAAGAAAAACTGACTCGAAAGTAGAGCAGTCCAGATAACTTAAAACATTATACTGTACATCAAAAATGAAGCATAAGTTATACCGAATTTTAATAACAACTTTTAAATATGATCCCTGTGGAAGTTGACTCAAAACTTAATCTATGATCATGATTTTTATTTCAGGCTTCGATTTATCTAAATAATAATAACATTGTAGTTCAGGGTTCTAAAAGAAATACTTTTAGATTCAAATTCTTTCAAAAATATAAATAAAAAAATTAGTTTTCAAATTACCTAGAGTGTTTAGTTTGCCGTTTAAGTTTAACCCTATACGCTTGGTACTGTTAAAGTCGTATGTATTTCCCGTATATGATTTGTATGCACGCTCCCCGCGTTCGTATGACAATGCGATCCTGTAGACTTCTTCGGGTAATTTAGTTGAACGTGATAATTCTCGTTGGCAATCCGACTCACGCATATTCATAATGAAAATGTCACGAACATTTTCGGCCGCATTTGCAAAATCACATCTACCTGCTAGGGCACTTAGTTCCGCATGGAATTTTTCGAATGTTTCATTCTCACGTTGTTTCCTTCCGTAGAAAAGACCCCGTTCATGCGTTACATTCCTTTCTTTTTGGAACACGTCTTGCATCTCATCTAGAACCCGTGGGTACCGTTCGGTTTTAATGCTAACCGTCGGTTTCCGTGCTTTGAATATCCGCTGCGCCTCGTCTCCGATACATAGATAAAGATTAGACTTTAACTTCTTTTCCGATTCGAGACGGTTTTTTCCATTTACTTCTTCAGACAACGCCCCGATAGCCGCCGCGTTCAGAGTACTCGCAAAATAGAAATCATCGGGATCAATATCGTACTTTGCTATCATCCCCCAGTAAAATTTAAATATCCACTCCTCCCAATAGACTGGAGGTTCCGGTGTTCGTGCCTCCCAAAATGCTACAATGTTCAGTGGATTTTTCCCCCCTCCTCTTTTCTCTGCTGGCTGCGCCATGTTAAAGTCGTATGTTCGGAATATCAAAAGATTGTAAATAAGTTGTATTTTTAGTTCAACTGTTAGGCATCAAATCGAAATCTTACTGCAATGTTTTATTTCAGATCAGAATGGACATTGGAGATCACAAGGTCAAAGAAACAGGTCTCCAGACAGAAAGAACAATTGATGGCATTTACATAAACTTAAAACTGGTCCCTATCTCATTCGGGCAACCACAAATAAATTTTAGCTTGTATAAAATTTATCAACTTGTAATGTAATCTTGCGAATTCATGTTACAGATCAATTTCAGTTTTACTTGAGTTTTTAGGCAACCTTGCCGAACCTCTCGTATAGGTTTTTTTTTCGGTATGCGTCATGTTACTTGTCTTGTATACGGTGGATCATGACACCCCCCATCTTATCAACACCTCGTCGCTGCCGCGTTGATTTTCTTGTCCCCTCTGCGCTTTTCTTTCGATTTCCTTCCACGGTCTTCGGCGTTCGAGTGACCAATGTCTCCGACGGTTCAATTGCCATTCCAAATAATTTCAATTGCCAAATAATCTGCCATTCCCATTTTAGACCCCTGCTTGTGTTCAACTTTAAAATCGTACGGCACTAACCGATCGTACCAGCGTGTTAGTCGGCTGAAAAACGTTTTATTTCCCTTCGGGGATGAATTTAAGGTTAGCAGGGCCTTATGATCCGAAATAACTGTGAAATAACGGCCATATATGTAATTACGAAAATGTTCCGTAGCCCACACTACCGCAAGTAGTTCTAATTCGTTCGTGGAGTATTTTTTCTCAGCCGGGTTAAGATAACGCGATGCAAACGAAATGGGATGCCAACCTGATGCCCCATATTGTTCTAACACGGCCCCCAAACCATCGTGGCTAGCGTCACAGATAATTCTAGTCTCACGGTGAATATCGAAATGTCGTAATTCAACAATATTTTTCACTAGTGATTTTAAATGTTGGAATGCATTTTCGCAAACGTTAGTCCAAATAAAATCGTTGTTTTGACTTAAAAGTGGCCTTAATGGTGCACTTAATTCTGCGAGATTGGGTAAGAACTTATGTAAACTGTGTAGTGAACCCATCAAAGATTTCAACTGCTTTCGGGATTTAGGGGTTTTCAAGTCTTCAATTGCTTGTGTTTTTCTTACTAAGGGTGTAATACCACTTTCCCCAATTCGAAATCCGAGCCATTCGCACGCTGTTTTCGCAAACTCGCATTTTCGTAGTTTTAGAGCAACATTAGAAATATCCAGCTTTTTCAATATCTTCTCGACCAACGCGATGTGTTCGATCTTAGTTCCTTTCGAAGAGATTAAGATATCATCAATGAACGCGTTGGCCTGAGGGAACTCTTTAAATAAATTGTCAATTACTTTTTGAAATTCCGCCGGCATTGACGTCAATCCGTAAAATCCGTTTTTAAAACAATAAGTTCCTGTGGATTTCCCACCGACGAGTGAGAAATTGCATTGTTCGCTCGTTTTTTGTTCTAAAGCGACTTGTCCGTACGCATATGTAAAATCCAACGTTGTAAAATATACATTCCCCGGTTTTTTCTCCGCAATAATCTGGCTTACTCCGTCTATTAATTCGTCAATATTTGGCATTTGGTACTTGTTTTTATGTACCTGCTTGTTTAGTTCTCTTGATTCCAGTGCTATTTTTATACTTCCATCTTTTTTCACTGTAATAACGATGGGGGATACGAAATACTTATCTGAGCATTCTTGTAATTTTACGATATGCCCTTCATTTATTAGCCGATGGATTTCTTTATCCACCTTATCTCGTAGACTGATTGGCACCCTGCGTCCTTTTTGTTGTACGGGCTTCAAATTTTCAAAAAATTCGACTCTTACTTTTGCATTCCGGATTTTTCCTATCCTAGTAAACAAATTTGGGTACAACTTACAGAAGTATGTTTGCAGTTCGTCATATTTCTCCTCCTCTTGGCTGATTCCTTCCCCTGTGATTCCCATCACTTTCTTTCGTTGGACTAGCTCGAGTCCCAGGGTGCCCATCAGATCCCGCCCCAGGATTGACTGGTGATTCCCGGATATAACCGACACTTGCGCTGGAGCTGCCCAGCCGTTTAATGACATCATCACTGTTACCTTCCCCATTATGTTTATCCGATTGTTGTTATAATCCAGGAATTCGTCTTTTGAAGGTTGTAGTTGGATATTCGCTTTACCTAACGTTGCTTTTAGATCGTTAATGCTAAAAATGGTCACTGCGGATCCACTATCGATCCACAGCCACATTTTCTTCCCTGCTACTTCCACCTGCACGCGGGCCCCAGGAATCTTTAGTTCGGATTCATTCTTTTTCCTGTGTATTGACATTACCATGTACTCGTCCGATCCCGACGTCATGGATTCGTTTTCTACGACCCCCTGCTGATTGACCCACCACACTGGATCTTCGTTCCCGTCATTCACGTTTTGTGTACTCTGGTGTTGCTCATTTTCCTCCCTGACCAGGCCTACTCGTCCTCGTCCCCGCCAATGGTTAGTTCCTCTTCTGACTCCTCGACATATTTTTCGGCATGAATTACATGTTGCTCCCCTTGCAGGACAGCTTGCAATGTGATCCATGGTAAAATTTGGTGCGTCGCAAT